GCGCCACCACCCCGTCATCGACGTCGCCGACTCGCCGCCCGCCTCGCCGCCGCCCGCACGCCTGGAGCAGCTCGCCTACGTCACGCCCGCCGAGATCGGCATCCCGGACTCGGACCCCGTCGCCCGTCTGCGCGTCCTCGTCCACCCCGCCGCCGCAGCCCTCATGACCCTCCACGCGCACCTCATGAAGACCGAGGTCATCGGCATGCTGGGCGGCGTCGTGTGGGGCGGCGCCGTCGTCGTCGCCGAGGCATTTTCCGTTAGGGAGGTCGCCGATACAGAGCTCTCCAACACCGGACGTAACGCCTACATGGAGGTCGAGCTCGAGCCCGAGAACTCCGTCGAGGTCCTGGCCCGCATCGAGAGTAAGGGCCTGCAGGTCGTCGGCTGGTACCACTCGCACCCGGACAAGCTCTTCACCGTCGAGCCGAGCCGCGTCGATATCGAGAACCAGGCCAACTACCAGACCTTCCTGTTCAAGGACCGCCCGTTCGTCGCCGCCATCCTCGCCCCGTACAACAAGGACCTGCCCGGCTGCGCCCCGGCGATCGAGTTCTGGCAGACGTGGCAGCGCGACCTTCCGCTGCGCCTGCCGCACACCGTTGACGCCCTGAGCGCCGTGCCGCGCCCGGTCCTGCCCGACTACTGGCGCGCGGAGAGTCGCCCGTTCCCGCTCGCCGCCCTCGCGGACGAGGCCATGCTGCTCGTGGACGCCTACAAGGCCAGCGCGAAGCGCGTCCGCCTGGCCACTCGCTGGCGCGGCACCATGTCCTGCGCAGACAAGCTGCGCAAGGCCCTGCTCGCCATTGTCGAGCACGACGCCCCGGAGCACCCGCACCACCAGCACGACCTGTACCGCGCCTGCGTCCATCGCGTCATGGACCACGCCGTGTCTGCCTTCGATCTCGCTTCAAGGCAGGAGCAGGAGGAGCGCGCGGAGAGGACGAGGCTCGCCCTGGCCCAGCGCGCGAAGAGGGTCCGAAAGAGATGACGCCGTGGTGGTGGAGGGAGGGTCGTTGGGATCGCACTGTACACGTGTAATATACAATTTTGTACCATACTGTAGCTGAGCGGGGGAAATCGCCAACGTGACAGGAGGAAGGGGCAGCCTGAGACACGCGTGCCGCCCTCATGTCTCTCATAATCTTGTATCTACTCAAAAAGCTGCTGCGGTGAAGGGCGACAACCATTTTAGATTCTAGACGATAGGTTTGCCCCTCCCCGCCCCCCTCCCTTCCCCCGCCGCCCCCATTTGCGAGTTGCAGTGTCCGCCCTCCGGTTTGACCGCGTCATTCATCGACCATGGGAGCTAAATGGTAAGTGTAGCCTTCACCGCGCCCTGCCTCGGACGTAGCACCTCCCGCCGCCGACTAACCCTCATGCAGGATTTTCGATATAGCGATTGAGAAAAACTTCCCCTCCGCCGCGGAGCTAGAGCTCATCCGCCGCATCGAAGCCAACACGGGCCGCAAAGTCAAGCCGTGGCAGGTGTCGTACACGGTGCACGCGCCCGCGGACAAGAAGCGCCCGCCGCTGGAGGTCATCTCGCTGTCGGACGCCGACGACCGTCTCTTCACGCTGCTCAACAAGGGCCTAACCATCTGCGAGACCGAGCCGGCCTTCCTGCCGATGATCAAGCGCATCAGCTCGTACCAGCACAAGCTCACGCGCACGATCCGCGGAACTGAGTACGACTTTTTCGACTTCTGCGTCAAGGTCGGCCTGGTCTTCGACCGCAACGACTCTGCCTACGGAATGGTCGTCGAGATTGAGTATCGCCCCTGCGTCATCGCCAAGGATTGCGAGAAGATGGCTACCGAGTTGATGGAGAAGCTCGCAGGGCATCTTGTGCCCCCGCCGCAAAAGGGCCGCGATAGGAAGACCAGTGAAGTTTCCGTTGCACCATACGAGTATAAGAAGGTCGAGCTCGAGGCGAAGAAGCTCAACCCCCCGGATGTAAATCCTTTCTCGCATAGGACTACCGCCTTGTTGTATGCCCAGTACCTGAGGTAGCTGGGAAAGAGCGGGAGCGTCGTCTTGCGATGACAAGCATCTTTTACAACGAGAATGTCGACCAATGTTGTCTTGGGTATGGTGTGATGAGAACAGACAAAAACTAAGCTCGCTTGTTGTCAGAGCAGTGAAGGGTGTATAAATCAAGTGCATAGTCGGACTGCATGCACGCCTATGGCTTCTCAGGCTGGAAGTTTACCAGCTGCTTGCTATGCCTCTGCAAAGAAACATGTTGAAATAAATATGTACATAAATGTCTGCACATCAGTCGTGTTCCAGACTTGCAGGACCCAACACATCTGTTCGTCACTCCGCCGCATCAGATATATGAGTATGTACGGCGTTGGTGGCTGTGCAGAACGAGTTAGTTGTTCGTACTTCTGCAAAGTTTACAAGCAGTAGTATTCTCGTTGAGGTCAATCCGTTTCGCAACAAAAAAGAAGAGTGCCGCATGCTGGCCTCCGCCAGCTACACAAGTAAAACGGGTCGAACACCTCCATCAAAATTTGCGGCACAAAGGTAGAAGCCGGATGCAGTGTTGCAAAGCTTCACCAGCGGAAATATGCCCATCTCCCGAAGAAAAACAAAATTCAGCTCAAGCCCCCATCAAGCACCGACAACATCTCTATCTCCGTGTATGTCGGCAAAACATTTCAGTAGATCCGGTAGATCGAGGACATAGAATTCGTCGCAGTACGCAAAAAAGTATGTCACTCGAAGAACTTCATCACGGAGGGCACGCATAACTCAAGACGATGATGGCAGTGCCTGAGAAGTGTGAAAGCCTTCGGTGCACTCCAGTGCGCCCACTGTATTCAGTCGTGCGTGCTCTCCGCCATATAGTTGTTTGGTCTTCGTAAGGCTTCAAAACCCTACGAGATCAATGTTTTCAAACTACTGCAGTTTGCATTTCGCTCTGGCTCTCACCTCCCATCCCGCAGCTGAACTCCACAAACAATTCTCTTAAGTATTTGCCAGCTCTGCGTACTTCTCTACGAGCCAGGCTCTTACGCCATCGGCGCCCTCCTTGGGGTTCTTGATCATCCAGTCAATCTGCTCCTCCATAATAGTTCCAATCATCGGCCCTTTCCTCAACCGCGGCAGCAGTTTCATCAGCTCATTTCCATTAACAGCCGGCTTCACCTCCCACACGCCATCTAACCCCATCTCCTCGATCCTCTTCCCAAACTCATCATAAGCCTTCGCCAGCACCTTCATCTCATCCGAAAGCTCGACTCGAATCCCGTCCACCCCATTCCGATACGTCTCTAACCCCTTGGCCGGTTCCAACTCCATGATCAGCGCGTTCTGCAGCGCGGACCGCCACGTCGGCCCCGACGCTCTCAGCACCTTACCAATCTCCAACCTGTCCAAGCTGGCGGACCCCCTGTGCACGAGCTCCCTGAGCTGCAGTGCCGTGGCATGAATGGCCACAACCTCCGCCGCGTCCTTCGACGCGAGTCTCAAATCCCCGCGAAGCATGTACAGCACGACCGGGTTCGGCCGTCTCTTCCTCCCGCAATCCGCAAACAAGCAGCGGCACGCCGCCAAACTCGACAGCAAGGCGGCGTACCGTGCTATCCGCAGCGGCGCGGCGCCCGCGGGCTCCGGGAAGGCGCGCAGGTTGAGCAGGGCGCCGAGCGCGAGGGCGGGCAGGTCTGGCGGCGGGCGCGGCTCGTCGACGAGCTCGTCCTCGGGCGGGATACGAAACACGACCGGGAACAGACTCAGCTCAATGAGCAAGCCGATGGCATGCGACGGGTTTTCGCAGCCCATGCAGCGATCAATCTCGGCCGAGATGCGCTCGCGCGAGACCTTGGCGCCGAGCGCGGCGTGGACGTTTGTGTCGCGGCAGGCGTCGAAGAGGGCGGAGTCGACGGAGAAGTTGAGCCTGCTCGCAAAGCGGACGGCTCGCAGGGCGCGCAGCGGGTCGTCGAGGAGGGTGGTGAGTGGCGGGAGCGGTGTGCGGACGAGGCGGGCGCGGATGTCGTCGAAGCCGCGGTGCGTGTGGTCCTCGAGCGCGGCGGTGTTGATGTTGTAGAACAGGGCGTTGATGGTGAGGTCGCGGCGCATGGCGTCCTCCAGCGGGGTGCCGATGGCGACGTCCGGGATGCGCGAGTCGTGCGAGTAGGTCTCCGTGCGCAGGTTGACCAGGTCGAGCCAGACGTCCATGACGCGCATGGTGGCGGTCTCGAGGTGCTTGCTCTGGTCCGGGTTCTTCTGGATGAGGCCGACGGACGAGGCGTGGAGGCCGTGGTCGAGGAGGTAGGCGTTGATGCGCTCGGCAAAGTCGCGGCCCAGCATGGTGTCCAGGGCGATGTCGATATCGACGGCGGTGCCCAGGTCTGCATGCGGGCGCAGCAGCTTGTCGCGGACCCAGCCGCCGGCGACGCGCAGGGTGAGGTTGGGGAGGGCCTGCTCGCGCACGACGTCGAGGAGGAGGGTGAAGAGGCGGTGCTCGAGCGGGGTGAGCGGGAAGGGCGGGTGGTGGGTCGGGATGGGGGGCGCGGGCTCGGCGGACGGACACATGCTGGTGGGGGAGGGTGAAGGCGAGCGCGGGCGCTTCATGGGCTCCGCGGGGGCGCGAGGCGCGAGGGGGAAGCCGTGCAGGGGTTGCCGTTGAGATATGGGGAGCTGGCAGAGGTGAGGGGGGGCGAAGGCGACGGGGAAGCTGCAGTGTGCGTAGGGAACGGGACGCCACGTGTGCGACTGACGAACGTGTCCAAGTGGTGTGCTTCAATTGGGCATGAGACAATTGTCCAAAACCAATAACAGAGCGGCACGCGTTCTTCGTGTCATTCGTGCCAATGCGGCTCTGCGCTTGAAAGCTGTCGACAGCTTTCGTTGCAATCGTTGTTTGTGCGATTTTACCGACATCGGTAAAATCGCACAAACAACGATTTACGTACTCGTAAAATCGTTGTTTGCGCTAGATACTGTACAGTAAACCCTTTGACGGGATCACGCTGTACCATGCCTGCAGTACCCAAGGGTAGCTAAAGCAATCGCGTCGTAGCCAAAGGTTGGCAGAGCGAGCAAGACAGCCCTGGGGCCGGAAGCATGCTTGCGAGGCTAGCTCAAGCTAACACCGTTTGTGAAGAAGCAGATTCAAGGTTGCGGCTGGCATGGGTGATGCCCGATGCCACCAGTTGAAACACGTTTTTACCCGTCGCGGAAGCTCCGAGACATGCCAAGATTCGTAGAAATACACGTTGGGCACGTGTAAAACGTGTGCTGGTTGAGCTCCCAGCAATGCCATGCTGTCAAATGTGGCCGTACTATTGTACGTGTACAAGTATGACACGACACAGGCCCAGACGCAGATACCGTACCCTTGGTAAAACTAGCACAGCAGCGGAGCATCCCTGACCTCGCCCGCGCTCCCTTGCATCAAACCTCTCCAAACACCCCTTCCCCTCTGCCGCCCGCTCCAGTTCCCCTCGTCGCGCCTCTGCCCCCCCCCCACCATGGCGTCGCCCGCCTTCGCGCTGCCGTGGGCCTTCCGGGGGCAGCCCCTCGCCGCGGCCGCACAAGCCCT